CTGCGTAAATACCGAATTCATTTCATGCTTTTCTTCATGTCCGACAACAGAGCCTGCATTTTTGCTGAGAGACCTGGAAGTCCGGTCAGCACATACCTTTCAGCTATCATTTTTTAAAGAAGATGAACGGTAAATGTTTGATTGCACACAAGCATCCGGTCCAGGAGATAATCACTTTAACCACAATGACTGCGATCCACTCAGCGACTTACAAACGCCTACAAACACCAGATAAGCATCCCTGGAGGTTAAAAGGAAAAGATCTCCATTAAAAACGCTATTAATATTCAATGAGGAAAGAGAAGGGGATCGTAAATGTAATCACGATTTTGGGAGTACATGCCAATGTGAATGACGGCGGGTGGATGTACATCGAGAATACTAAGTTTGAGCTCCATCGCGCCTCTGGCAACGAGATCAGTTTTTGACTGCACGGAGTTTGACGATGCACACACAGTCCGCGAATCGGTGCGCCCTAGCTTCTCCGCTAAGTTCTTCGGTAAAACAACAGCAGCTCCAGTTGCTACTCGTTTCAAATCACTCGATGGAGAAAGCGTGAGGGAATTGGGTTTGCTATGGTCTTTACGCACAAGAAGCACGATTACTATTAACATCGCCGCAGCCAGACACCAAATACCTCTTTTACTGAATCGGGAATAGATGAAGCAGAATGCTACCAGTAAGGGAAACATTGCTACCAAGTACAGTAGAAACATGTATAAACCAAGTGTAGGATCATGAACGACGTTTTCGGAACCTGAATATAGACGAAGCAAATTCGCTTCTGTTCGATTAGCATAGATATTCAATGATGGCAGAAAGGTCTCAGTAACTAAAAAGTCATCTTCAAGAAGAACGACATAATTGGACGCCGAATAACGCTTAAGTCCTAGAGAAATGCACGATATTGTATCAAGGACGGATTTGCAGAGACCATCAAAGATTTTTGATGGCTGAACAAACGAGTTCGGTCCGAAAACTCGACGAAGACGCTTTAATTCCGAATTGAATGCAACACCGTCCGTGTCGTTCACACTTCCAACTGAGCATAGGAGGAGGTCAACCTTGCCTATGGCTTCAAAGGCCCTTGCTTTCGCAGACAACAGTGTTTTAACTAGGGTGACTGAGGTTTGTGTAAGGTAGTAGGGTTCAAAAACGTCAATTTTCCGATGGCCTCTATTCGACGTTATCATTAGAATGAGGAAATTATTACTTCCGCCATAATAGAATCTGTTGGTCAATGAAAGAGGAAGCCACTTTTTTAGACGCCACTGACCAATTAGAGTGTTAGCCTCTGCTAAGCGGAGCTCATCCCTGTCACGAACTTGAGAAGCGATCAAAAGTCGATCGGCATAATTAATGATGCGTGGTTTAATAGTGCTATCGATGAAGAAAATAAAAAAAAGAGTACAAAATAGACTTAAAATTGCGCAGATAGGCAAGATGTTCATTGCCTTCAAGTGGGAGAACCAAAGAAGAATACCCAAAATATATGCAAAAATATAAAATAGGACCAGAACAAGTGCAAAGGAAAATCAGCGGTTCAGTAGTTTTCCAATTCCGGGCGCGTTTGTAAGACCTCACAAGAAAAAGAGACTAAGGGTGTATAGAGGAATTATTTCTTAGAAAAGTAATCAACTAAAATGGAAGATAAAGACCCTGCAAATATGAAAATACAACAATGATAACAGCAATGAGAACTTTCAAAATAAATATACAGTCAGACTGTTTTTGGTATATGATGCAAGTGAACTTGCTAGTTGAGCTGATTTTTCCAGGCTACTTTACGGCGTTCCAAAAAAACCACAAATGTCAAAACAATGACAAAGTGTGTTTGAATTTGTGCATTGTTTACCAATGAAAGTAAGGTCATTAAGCCAGCAACAATGAAGCTTTTTGGAAACGCTGTGCATAAATACATTTTTGTTGTTGAACTACGCAAAACTCTAAAATTATCACTTTATCATTGCATTTAGGTTACTCAAATTTAAAAAATTTTATGTAGCAGACAGACTGTAGCATATGCATGACTATTAGCAACGAGTCCATTTGACAAATTTCTTATGATTTTGATTTCCACTGCATGCTTTCTTCAATTTTAGGTCCGGCATAGGGAAATGTCGCTTGAAATGCTACTCGATTATGTCATCAAAGAAAATAATTGGAAACAATTTCCAGCTGTTGACCATAATGATTGCCTTTATGTAAGTTTTAATATTTTGAAGTTGACTCTGTACTCGCGATTATGTCTTTCAGTTTAATCAAGTCAAGTTTGTTTTTCCACTTTTCTATGTGAGCGCTTTCTGTAACAGCTCAGAGTTAGTGGTTATTTAATTTGCGTTTTGTTATGGCGCTGTCAGTCCTGCAGATGCAGCAAGAGCGCTTTTATCGTGACACATATGCGGTTTTGTCGAACGTTGATTTCATTCTTTTGCGCGTGGAGTTCCTCCTCCTGTATAAGAAGTTAATACCTAGTCTTATCTTCTCCTCCATTGTACAAATTGCCTTCTGGTAAGTCGCTAGGCGTTTGTTTGCTCATAGCCTAATCAGGGTACCTGTACTTCTCCGACTTAACAGAGCTTTTGTAATCGCCACATTATTGAGTGCGGGGGTATTACTTGATCTGGGAAAGAATTGGCTTTTGCCGAAAATGGAGTGTATTATGTATCCTGTTCTTACTTGTCACTTTTAGACCTCTTGCTTTTATTAACCGGCTTCGATATGACCTCTGAGGTTGGTATTGCTTTACAAAGAAGGGAGATATTTTCTGTTGAAGAACTATCCTTCCATGCTGCCAAGGGTTTTCGAATATTTTTAAAAGTTATTAATCTATTTGCGCCTTATCGAGAGCAGCGCCCACTATTGGTACGTATTTTGTCGCGTGAAATCTATATAATTGCTTGCATTTTAACGCAACTCTCTGGGTTATTTTGCAGTTTCTAATCCTGTCCTGCATTATGAGTCTCCTTCTCATTTGGATTGGTTTAATCGCAAAGGAGCACAATCTAACATACTTTGTGGTCAATGTCTTCCTAATCGTTCCGGGCCTCATGCATCATCGGATTTTTTCACGAACTTGGTCAGTTTTAAAGCCCTATGTCGATCAAATCGAAGCAGAATTTGATCGAGGCCAGATTGAGTCAGTTGCCGAAAGAGAGGCGGGAGAGAGGGAGCTTTGGGAACCTCTTGCTACCTCTTCATTTTTTCACCAACCTGAACGAAGGTATGAAGGCTCTCCAGGTCGTTTTGACACTTTTGACGTGGATGTCGATGACTATGATGCTTCTGAATCGCAGTTTATCCAAAGTTTTAGTGAGTCCGTGTTTGGTTAGATTTTTTACATTTACGTTTCTTTTTTAATGTTCTTGTTTCATTCTTCGAGTCCCACATCGTCTTAAGCTGTCGAAGGAGAAGAACAAGGTTGCACTGGACGCAATGACTCGGGAAATAATGGAGACCTGTAGGAATCAAGAAGAGATTGATGAGTGGTTCTCAGAGGTCACGCAAGATCCGAAGCACCCAGAAAAACGCACCCGAAGTGCCAGCATGACCGAAAATCGGACTGGCGGGACTGGTCACAGTTCGCCTAATGCCACTAGTGGCGCCGCCGGGGATCACACATTCAATAGCGAACTTGATTCTGCTGCGTGGGAGGAGTTCTCGGTAAGTTACTTGCGTCACTGCTTTAATCTTTGCTCAAGCGCCTTCTTTAATGATAGTGTACCACAAGTAAACGGAGCTATGGTTATTCTTGACGATCTCATAAACATGCAAATTGGGGATGCTACTGTAAGCACACCTAAACGCCAAGTTATACATATCCAAGTGTTTCTTGTCATATAAGGGTAGCTAATGCCAATGTAATGTCAGTGGGTAGACTCTTCCTCTTCTCCTTTATGCCCTGTTCATAGCGCGATGAACCTTTATTGAGTCTGAGGATAGTTTTATATTCATCTTGCAAAAATAGGAAATTTCCGTTTTTCTGCCCCTCCTATCTACTCTGTATCTCTTG